TAACTAATTTACCATTAACCATATCCAAAAATTTACCAGGAATTAGGGTCTACTTCTGCTTCTCCCCCTGTTGATATAATAAAATTCTCATTTTGAAAACAATTTGGAATCTATGTCACTTTTATATAATAATTTGCTGAAAAACCAAAATATCATAAGATGTTCCACCATTTCTCCAAATCTTCCATCTAGTATTCAAACTAGACTGAGATTATGTAAATTTCAAAGTTCCATCTGTAATGTCTTCTCTTTATAACATCCCCCTGTGTTTTCTTATTTCCAAAAGAAAAACAATTTAGAGGTGGAAAAACAAAAATGGAAGAACTTACCCCCATTATGCTAAAATTTCAACATGTCCAATCAGTTACCCACAAAAAATATAAACCAAGTTTATTTAGTTAGAATTTAGGTTAGTTTGTTAGTGTTGTTAGTCAAAGTGGATAACATAATTTCCTAATAACTACATCTATCTGCTTTAAGCCAAGGCTGAATTCTTGTTTCATATTAATTTCACTGCACAAGCAGATGATTCAGCTTCAACCAGATTGTGACACCAAAATATGAAATCGTCATTACCTTAAAATTATCCCTTAAAGCAGTAATAAAAACATATTTATGAAACAAAACCTTCAGTGTACCTAAATAGTTTAAAATAAGAAAAATATCACACAGCTACACACTAAACTGCGGTCATATTTACACAGAGCATCCTAAAACCCATCAAAGGCCATCAGCCTACACGTTCACTCTCATTCACACTCAAGCAGACTCATCAACACATTGTAAGAAAGATGCAGGATGTTACCCCAGATTTCAAACCAAAATTCATCCTGTAAAAGTCTTAAAGACAAATATTATAACACCATGGTTGAAAAAAAATAATAAAAAGACATTATTATCCAATAGTTCTAATATTGTTCAGTTTTGAGTGAACCTTTTTTAAAAACTCCAAATTATACACACAACCGTATTTCATGATAGCCCACTGTTATTAGATGGCTACCTAGACCCCCTGTAGGAAAACCCAAAAACCGTTCATGTGGTCATGTAATATGCGAAATGGGCTGCACACAAAGATCGTCCTACAAGAAACAAAGTCATTCATTAGTGTTTCAACATGTCCCACATTAACAGTGTAGAAAACACTGTTAAGCAGAAAAACATCCATATGTTCTCCTGTTCCAATCAGTGAGGGTGTTCCCTCCTGTGTCAGGAAACCTAGAAATTTAAGTGATTGTCAATGTTACAGTATTATAATAAACAATTGGATCATTCCAGTGCTCAAGCCTGGAACTGATGCAACACATTTCACCCGCTGAGAAAGTAAAAACATCTGTAAATCTGTTATTTTGTACTTTTCATTTCAACACAAAACACAGTCCTAAAGCAATTCACATCAAAATCCAAGAACCCTGAAAGCGTGAGCTGGAAATAGCACAGAACTGAAGCACTCCCAAAATGCAAATAAGGGGGGTCAATCAGTCCCCCTGCTGTGAAACAAAACTTGCATCCAAAACGGAGACACCTCTGTCCCACAGAAGCACATTTTAACAGAAAGTTAGTAATACAACATCCAGCAAAAATATTTAACAATATTTCAGAACACAATCTTGAAACACAAATCACTTCCGCACAATCTCAGCACAATTCAGACACAGACAGACGAATAGACAGCAGCGCGTGGTGGGACATAGGCTACAGTATAACGGGGGAAGACAGACACACAGCCACAAACACAAAGAAACATACAAAACACAGAAACACAGACAACGTTGTAGTTCAGTCAAGAAAAGACAGAAAAAAAGAAAAGAAAACGTCAGGAGCCGGCTAAAAGAATGTATGACGCATCTTTTAATTGTCCAATTTCAATTTTACAAATCCCTTTTATTCTCATTTCAACTTCTCAGTCCTACACTTCAGAGCTGGGTCAAGCTCGAGGCGAAAATAAGCCTCAATTTAGTTTATTCGATCACTCAATCCGCCCAGTGACAAAAGGTTTTTTTTTCTTTTCTTTTTCAGCTGGGGAGAGCGATTGAACCCGTATTAAATCAAATAATTTATTTTAGTCCTTTATTTTCCACGATTGATACAACTCGGTCCAATTAACCCGCTATTAGTCCTTTTCCACGAGTGATACAACTCGATCCAATTAACCCAAATAATTATAAGTCCACTGGAGATGAGTCGAAATCTCCGGCTGATACAAGCCAAAACTAACCAATACACAAATTTCCAAAATACTTTTTTTAGAGGCCCAGGCATTGCTCCTCAGGGTAAAAAGAATAAATTAATCTTTATTAATTAATCAATTAATTAATTAATCAATCAATAAAACCTTCTTTTAAAAAACCCAGCTTAAGTCAGAGTTAACGTAAAGGCTCTGTTTGAACTAGCCACAGTTCCCTGTAATGTGTAGTTATTCAAATCCTTAAACAACCGACTCTGTTAGGAGGGATTTTATCTACCTCTGCAGCATCTGAATTCTGTGAGGCCGCACACAGCAGATCAGCCCCGGTCCGACCACACGGCGCTTCAGACAACTGAAAAATAATCAGATACTGTCTTACCACACCGAAGCGTCGGGCCGAAACGGATCAATCAGGACCAAACAGCCGCCCGCCGAGACTCCAAAACCGGCACGAGCCCCCAATTGTAAAGGAAGAAAATATTCTAACATAGTTAACTTTGGAAAAAGGTTGGCTTTTGATTCTTCCCTTCCCCAGGTCCACTCGGCGAGCTGCGTGTGGTCACTATGAAAATCAGCAAGGCATGTTGACATCACAGAATTACAGAGTTTAATCCAATATAAGACAATGCATACACTTAGAAATAAGACAATGCACAAGCCTACACCAGAAACTGCAGAACAACAGAGACATACATTCCATTACCTGACATAGGAGGAAAGAAAGCAAAGACGTACAAGACATCTTTGGAGAGTTTGCAAGAGCAAAATCTGATCTGTAACTTCTATTTAGAAAGCTTTATCCTCTTGTATCTAATCCATTCAAAAAGGGCTGGCCCTCGGTCCTCCAACCAGAGCCATCTCTGACACTGAGCTTCACCTAATTTACTGCAAACATCTGGGGTCATTTGCTTCTTTGTTTTAACAAGAAAAGGCGGAAAGCTTGTCCTGGCATCTAGCATTCCTAAAGTCATAAAACACAAGATAAGCTCTCACAGACAGCTTGTGGAATGCGGGGGGCCTCACTTTTGACCTTCTGTAAACCAAGCAGAAATCTCTCCTGCAGGCTTAACTGTTATTCACCCCCCAGGAGATACTCATTCTATGGGCTGGTGGTCTAAATACTTATCCATTAGTAGTTTTAAATCATTAACACAGCCTTGTTCAAAATTAAGAAATATGTTCAAGTGAGAGTGTTTACACATGCCATAAGATTAACTGTATTAAAGTCTAAAAAATAATCATTTTTCTTTAACAATATTCAAGTTTCAGACATTTACAGTTTATTGTTTGCTAAATTAGAAGAGGAGAAAATAAGGTGGAGGCAGTTTTCGTTCTGCATGAATTCATCCAGTTTGTGCACTGCATGACTTTCAGACCCTCGGCATGATGCTATCAGCATGTAAACCATCCAGCTCTTGATTTGCGGCCAAACTGAAGAAGTTGTACATATTCTTTCTTCTTTATCATTTACCCATTTTGATAAATCCAGGCATACCACTGGAAGCCAAATGGAGCATTAACATGTTTATCACCTCATTATGCTTTGGAGCTGGAAGTGTGTTCTCCAGCTAGAAGCCTTCAACTGTAAACTTTTAATATGTTTAGAACTATGTGTGCTGTTCCTTATCTTTGTACAGCAGAGCAGACCCATAAACGTGATGTTACACTACCAGGCTTAACAGCTGAATCTGTCTTTTTGGCTACAGGAACTTATCATATCAGGTGGAGGGTCAATATTCAGCTGAATGTGTGAGGATTCATATCTAGAGGAACTATGTGGTTTCATTTCCGCTCTCTTGGGTGTTTTTAAAGATTATTAGGGATGCATGCGTATGTGTTTGTAAATTATTGAGCCTATATTATTAATTTCTCTCCTTGTGACTAACAGAACAAAAAAGAGACATAAAGTCTTTTAGTTATTAATTATTTTCTGTTTGTTTTATACAGTTTTATACGGCATGCTAGACCATCCGAAGGGTTAAAGAACAGCAGCTGATTTAATTTTCGCTTTTTTAAGCATCTCCAAATCATTTTGGGGATTTCAGATTGGCAAGTTAGCACTCAGATTCCTTGCCATGAAAAGTGCTTTATAAACATGTATTATTCTTATTTTCATTATTATTATTCTGTCGACACATAAAGGTTGAAATATTCAGTAAGGTAAGCCCTTTAAATAAAGAAGCAAAGAAATAATAACCTTCATTAAAAGAAAAAGCACTAATAAATTATTTAAGCCAACTGCACTTTTTTCTTTCAATTTGATACGAATGTTAATAAGGCCACAAACATCCACTGACTTTTACTCAAAAGCAGCCTTGGCCACACCCACCTGTCTACCCATTTGTACCATAAAGCAGGAGTAAACAATGTCCCCTACCCCATTTTTAGAATCAAGAGGAGCACAAAATATGTAGGCGAAGAAAAACTTTTTCTTGTACAATTTTTTTAACAATTTAAAATTTCAATGTAGTAAAAAAAAATAATAATAATTGTATCTCACTCCTGCTTTCAAATTTGTGCGGAATGCACATGATGACCAAGATGGGTGAAGTTGAATGCCCTGTACGTTAAATAAATGGTTAAGCTGAGACTTTTAATCCTTAGATATTTGTTACTTCAGCCATATATATAATTTTAAACATCTGCTTAAATGCAACTTTTTAAAAGCTTGAAGCCTTTAGTAATTCTTATTAAAGAATAAAAGGGTTGCAAATCCCTGGGGGGATGTAAACCCTTAGGAGACTCAACAAACCATTGAACTGTTAGAATCTGTATTTTCTTTGACGGAGGATCATCTTTGTTTCTCTAACAGGACTTGTACAGGAAAGACTGCAATCTGGCCGCCCACCTGCTGCACTGCTCCAAGTCACACTACAGAGCACACAAGTTGTCTGAGGTGAGCTTTCTCACACTGCTGCTACAAACACACAATCATGCAATCTATGCATCAAGACAGCACTGTGGGGCTTTAATGGGAACTTTAAAAAAGTTCTAAAATGAATAAAATTCTTTAAATGTTAGTTAATAGCTTCTAATTGGTGTGCAAATCAGTCTGAAGTTGTTTGTCTGCAATGCTTGTAATCTAGAGAAAGAGTTGCTGGGCTAAATTGAAACCTTGATGAGTGGATTTCACAATGAGATGGGGCCACGGGGCTCATGGCCTCTTCAGTCAGACTGATGGAGGTCTGCTGTCTGAAGTGCTGTCTGTCTCTGCTGTGCATAATGAATGAGCAAATAAAGGCTGGTTAGAGACAGCGTCCCATGTACAAGGAGACATGTACAAGAAAATACCTTAAGGGAAAGAAGGTTGATAACTGTCTAGAGCTGTGCAAATATCTAATTTCAATATCTCATATTAGATACATCTATTGATAAAAAAAAAAAATGGAAGAAACTTAAACAAGGTCTTGCAAAGTAGGTAAACATCGAGTGTGTGCTTAAGCTCTCCTTGAATACTAGATCTAATTATTTCCCCTTCATAGCTCTTATACAACATATCTGATATCTATACATCAACTAACCATTTGATTTTTTTTTCTTTTTGTAGAATACAGTGACCTCAAAAGTATTCAAAATACTTTTTTGGACTTTAAAGCCACAAACTACAATGAGTTATACATTTTAAAATGATTATTAGAAACTGCAAAGTGGAGGAATAATGAAACATAAGGGTTTAAAAAATGAACAAATACAAATCTGATAAAGTCCTGTTAATTTGTTCCTTACCATACAAATTGACATTTATACGTCCATTTAAATCATTTGCAAAGACCATCTAGCAGTCAAAATGGAGAGTTTCTGTAATAAAGCAGTCTGCTGCAGTATGCTGCTTATGTTTTTTTTTTTTTTTTTTTTCTTAATTGTGGTGGGCTGCAAGAGGAATTACCTCTAGGGATTCAAAAATTGATTTAAACATTTTAATTGGCTGTTTGTCTTGATAACCCTTTCTGAGTGTCTGGGGGGAAGCATTTCTATACTCAACGCCAGCAAAGTGCTGTTGCTCTACTAGTACCATTCTTTTCAGTGTAGACGCAGATAGAAAATGGTGCTAAGCAACTAGAGAGAACATGCAGAAGCCACATGGAATCACGAGTAAGGTTATAGTTCATTGTGCTGCCAAAATATTTAAAGGAACAAACATATCCATTATTTTTCAGGGTTCATATAACCTAAAATGATACATTAATAAATTATGTCAAACATTCAGAGGTTTTTGTCCATTTTTATTCCATTGTGTGCATATAAATCAGAGTCTCACTGGACTTTTCAATGTGATCAAGCTGTAAATATAATTTTTTTTTTTTTTGGTAGCATATTTAGACAGATAGCAATTTTAGAGATGCTTTTCCTGTTTAAACCGCACATATGTAGTTTGATGCTCCGGAATGTGGAAGTAAGACAGAAGACTGCAGGAGTTTTATGAGGGATTTAAAGAGGTACACACCCCAAAACAAAGGAAATGTTTGGCCTTAACCAAAACCGGCATTTCAGGGAAACATTAAAACATCTGGAAATCAGATGAAAGTTAAATTAATATAAATGCTTAATAGTAAAAAAGGTAAATAAAATATATTGAACACATAAAAATGTCTTAAAGAACCAACATATTAAATGCTTTATACTAACTTTCTATATGCATGTGTAGGTTTTTAATTATTTACTAGTTTAAACACACTGGTTGGAGCAGCTTTTGGAAAGAAAAATAGGATTTCTATCATACTGATAAAAGAGATAGGAAACAACCTCAGTATATTTAAAATCTTTTCATCTTCCATTACAATCCAGACCTGGAAAATACTTAAATCCAGTGACACACTTTTTAACACTGTGTATGAACTCTGGTTATTGACATTGCATGATCCAGTTAGTAACTGGCACATATAGGAAACATTTACAGTGTTCAATCTAATTGACTAAACAGTTCAACTACTGTTTAATTACAGCTTTATTTAAAAATAACAAAATAGATGTTTCATTTTTATTGTCACCTGCTATTTTCCAGCTGGACTAACCCTGCGAAACATTGCTATTGTTAATCAAGATGTGATTTAGATTGGAGCAAACATGCT